AACAATTACAATACTACCATATCCCACTAGATCAGGGGTGTCCAACCTTGGCAACTTCAAGACTTGTTGACTTCAATTCCCATGACAGGCTGGGGATTTCTGGGAGCTGGTCCAGAAGTCTTAAAGTTGCCAAGGTTGGACACTCCTACACTAGATGAACCCATAAAAATGTCAAACATTTGTGTGCTTGTCTGTGTACATTATATCTTGCCCAGTACTTTTGCTCTTAAAGTAGCTAAATATTGGTCTTGAAAACATTACAGTTTGGAAGTTAGTCTTGGGGGAGGGGCTTCATCAATGAATTTGAACTGGTCCTTAGGTGCTTGTGCTGATCATCAACAACAACATCATCCATGACCATTTTTATTGATTCACTTTAGGCTAGTCCTTTAAGTTTCACCCTTAAGTGTTATTGTTCAGTAGTTTGTATTGTAAGCCACTTCTATTGATTTTTAAAAATTATTCTGTTGTGCACACCGCTGTGGGAAGATTTTTATTCTGAAAGAATGAATAAAATGCATTAAATAAATCTAAACCTTAGGACAGCCACAATAGAGTTCTGTTAGAAATGAGGTGTAAAGCTGACAAGATCACAGAAGCAGACCATATTTTACGGTCTGCTGAAAAATGAAAAAGTCTTTCTGAGGCAATACCATTTCTGCACACAACTTTCCAATGACAGAACTTCACACACACACACACACACACAAAGGTCTCTACCTCAATTCACCAAAGGATGTGAACCACAACCTCAAGGAAAGGCAGTGGGTCTTCAGGCTGTGCCTTCCATAAGTGCTCCAAAGACAAGTTTTAATAATAATAATAATAATAATAATAATAATATTATAATAATAATAATAATAATAATAATAATAATAATAATAATAATAATAATAATAATAATAATAATAATAATAAAGTTGGAAGAGACCTTGAAGGTCATCTAGTCCAACTCCCTGCTCAGGCAGGAAACCCTATACCATTTTCCATCAGACTTCATGGGATAACAGTCCCAGACAGCTGGTCTGATAGATCACATCTAACAAATGACCATTTCATTTATTATTATTTATTTTGCCTTACCAAGCAAGGGGAGAGGTTCTTACAGGATTTTCTCCTTCTCATGCCAGAAGAATGCAATTAGCCTTTGGGGGTGATCTTGCTTCAAAAGAGGGTTTTTCCCTCCAAGAATTTCCATTTTCCTTTCTGTCATTAGTTTCCCGGCAGTTAATCCAAGCCTGCATCTATCTCATCCAGAAACTGCTCTGACCATTAACTTAATGGGGCAGAACATTCTTCCTCCTGGGCAGCAGTTGTGGTTGGGTCAAGGGGGACAGAAAACACTGGCAATTCTTGCCCTGCCTTTGCTTGTTTCATTGACGAAGACTTTTTAAAGAAGAATGAAAGATCAATAACAACAAGGGACAATTCTGAAATGGAGTAAGGGTACAACAGAACCAAGAGAATGACATACAAAGGGCACAGATTAAAAACAAAGCTGCTTAAAATGCTTGGGCATACAAAAAGATTTTCTCCTGGAGCCTAAACGACGGGGATATTGTTCCTAGGCGAGTCTTCCTGAAAACAAAAACATTTTGTAATTGAGTGGAACTGCTTAAAAAGCTTTGTCATTGTCCTTCACCTCCTCTTGCTCTGATAAGAGAGGAACAGATAGTCTGTGTCAGACTAAATAGACTAGGACTGTAGCATCCAAAAAAAACTAACATGGAAAATTTCATAATATCGATCGTAAAATATTAACTTTTTTTTTTAAAAAAACCCACGATATCAGATACCCGCATGACACCATGACTTCTAGTCCTTTGCACATGTGATACGACATACAGGTAGTCCTTGACTTACAACCATAACTGAGCCCAACATTTCTGTTACTAAGCAAGACAGTCGTTAAGTGAATTTTGTCCCATTTTACAACTTTTCTTGCCACAATTGTTAAGTGAATCACTGCAGTTGTTAAGTTAGTAACATGGTTGTTAAGTGAATCTGGCTTCCCCACTGACTTTGCTTGCCAGGGGATGATCACATGACCCCGGGATACTGCAACCATCATAAATATGAATCGGTTGCCAAATATCCAAATTTTGTTCACAGGACCATGGGGATGCTACTACTGTCCTAAGTGTGAAAAATGTTCATTAGTCACTTTTTTCAGTTCTGTTGTAACTTCGAATAGTCATTAAATGAACTGTTGTTGAGGACTACCTGCACGTACATACATAAGCACATCCCAGCACACTCACATTCCCCAAAAGGTCATCCATCAAAGATCTCCGCAGTTTGCAAATGATCTTCAGGAGAACTGCTGCTCACTTTGATCAAAAGATGCTGCTTATTTCATTATGCTCACATTCCATTTTCCTTCCACGTGGATTACTCTCCAGCTCTCCTTTTATTCTCCTGAGAACCCTACAAGGAAAGTCAGGCTGAGAAATTGTGAACTATATAACTGTGTGGATTTAAAAGCCAGGTCTCTCTCCAATTCTATTCCAAAATTGTAATCGTAGTCATCCAATACAAACCATGATGACCTCAGAATATCACGATATCACTGTACATGTATGTAATTTGCACAATAACCTCTGAAATCACACTATAACGGGTTCCACTACTAGCCACAATAACAAAAAAGTAATGGTGATGTGACAGTATATTTATTTATTTATAAAATTTATTGGCCACCCACCTTATCCCAGGGTAACTCTGGGGAGCTTACAACCATACAAATACGTTCTTTCTTTGAGTATGAAAGTCATAGTGTTTGCATTATGATGTCATAATGCATATTTGTCACTTACCTCCTTTCCCCATGGACACTTATGTATGTCATTATTCTTTCTCAGATACTCATGACTATAACTATTATACCACACTGAAACTGTGCACGCACAATAAACTTAATCTGCTTAGGCATTTTGGATGTGTAGCTTGATCAATACAGGTAGTCCTGGCCTTACAACATTTCGTTTAGTAAGTTACCACGGCACTGAAAAATGCGACTTATGACCATTTTTCACACTTATAACCATTGCAGCATCCCCATGGTCACATGATCAAAATTCAGGTGCTTGGCAACTGGCTCATATTTATGACGGTCCCAGGGTCATGTGATCACCTTTTGCAACCTTCTGACAAGCAAAATCAATGGAGAAGTCAGATTCACTTAGCAATTCTGTTACTAACTTAACAACAGCAGGGATTCATTTAACAAGTGCGGCAAGAAAGCTCTTAAAATGGGACAAAATTCGCTTAACGAATGTCTCACAGCTACAGAAATGTTGTGGTCCTAACTCAAGGACTACCTGTATTAACTTTGTTTTGTATGTCTTTCATGAGTTTAATGAGTGCAGTATTTTCAGTTAATTTATGGTTTAATGTATTGCGCAAACTTAGAAAATGGGTTAATTCGATAATCAAGTTAAAGATGTTGTATGAACAGTCTGTCAGAGATGAAGCATTCTATCCTGGTGTTTTCAAATACAGCTTTCTAGGGCCAATCAATTTCCCCTAGATAACATACATAAAGAATGTAGGCTGATGGTAAGAAAGATCTTTTGGAAAGAGAAAAAAATATCTCAAAACATTATTAATGATGAGGAAAAAGAAAGCTTAAGGTTACTCCTATTTAGAAAAAAGCCAGTTAGCCCTTCAATCTGGCATTTTGGGGAAAAAGAGCTTCAAATGGTTCTTTGAGACTCTTCCTTAATGAATTCACTAATAAATGAGTACTCAAGTTTGGGCTTATTCCATTTCGAAAATGTATATCTTAGTCCAGTGGTGGCGAACCTATGGCACGGGTGCCAGAGGCGGCACTCAGAGCCCTCTCTGTGGGCACGCGCGCTGTCGCCCCAGTCCTAGGCCTTCAGCTGGGTTTTATAAAATCTTTTCGCTTTAGGCCTCTGCTGCCGTGTGCAAAAAAAAAAAAAAGTTCAATCAATCAGTCAATTTCAACTTCTCGCGGGAAAAAAAAAAGATCTTGCAAAGTTGGAATTGATTGATTGAACTTTTTAGTCCCACCTAGTCTGCCGTTACCACCGCAGCCACGCCCACCCAATGGGTCACACCCACCCAATGGGCCACACCCACCCAATGGGCCACGCCCACCCGGCACTCGACGATGCATAAGTGGGTTTTTGGTTCCAGTTTGGGCACTCAGTCTCTAAAAGGTTCGCCATCACTGTCTTAGTCTCATATTATTTATTTTTTATCTTTTTTTTAACCTTTCTTTCTAGTTTGCATTGTTTGTAAGGGATTGATACTAAGAAAGAATGAAGCTAAACAGAACAAGAGAGTTCTGGGTTAAATGTTACCATTATTTGGCTTTGCTATTGTGGCTTGCAAACCATGATTTATGGCTTATTATAATGTGCACATTCACCAAGTGTGAATAAGAGGAATTGTGGGCTTCTGACTTGGGTTCAGATGGACTTGTGAATAATATTTAAGATGCCAGACACACTGCAAACATTGCTACTAGAAAAAGAGATTATGTAAAAAAATAAAAGGATGTTTTCTCTTCATCCAAATGCCAAAACATAAAGTTTCTAAGACATATCTTGTTTTCATGCAAATGAACTCCAAAGCGCCCCAAGATTTATATTTTGCAAGGGGTTATTTATATTCTACCATTCCTAGCAGAAGCTGCCTATACCTTTATAAAAAAAAAAAGAAGACGAAAAAGATGCAATTGAATGTAGTTCTCCCCATAAATGCTAATAACTCCCCTGCTTATTAAAATCCTCTCCCTCCAGACTGAGTGCAGAGAGTTGATCTAAAACACTAGTTAATCAGACTTTACATAAGTAATGTTTTAACTATGGGACAGTTCCTTGTTTGCTTGGAAAGCCACAAAAACCCCTGAAAGGAAATGTAGCAGAATGGTGGGAGGACTGAGACCAGGAAACTCATGACCTCATCTTTTCCGCCTGGCGCAGATTGGTCGGCTGGTATCTGGACTACAGTTTAAATTCAGAGGTCTGCAGATGGGAAACAGAAGAGAAGGAGAGAGAGTGAACGAGTGGAACTAGCTGAAGTGACTCAAGCATTGCTCTGAGCTTCGCTACATAGCTGCAGACTGCTGCCTGAGGATCTAAGCACCACGCCAGGTACCTATTGCCTTTCTTTCTTACCTGTTACTTTCATGCTGTGCCACAATTTATTAAGAGAAAAGCGCCATAACAGTATGCTAGGGACTGTTTCCACTGAGAGGGGATCATTTTGCCTGAAATAGATTCAGTTCCAACAACAGAGTGGTTTGCCTGGCTCCTGGGAGCAGATTTAAAGATACGGGGATGATGTGGTTTGTAAGAGCAAGTGCTGTCAAATGGAAATTGCCATTTAGAAGAGAGAGAAAAAAATACACAATGGCTCTTAGAATTATCCCTGGGGGGGGGGAAATCAAATTGCTGCATACTTTTGGCTCAAAGTGGCTGATGGTCTGCATTCTGCTATCTCTGTGTAAGTGCTAAATTGCAGAGGAGGGTGGGTTATGACTAGACCAGATTGCATCATGGTTGGGATACTGGCAGAGTCCAAATGCTCATTCTCTGGGTGTCTCACTTCCCAAGACTGTTGTAGAAGTAACATGGGAAGGCATTAAAGTAAGTTGGAAGAGAAAGATAAGGCATAAGTTTACCAAGTTTTGGGTAACTAAGATTATCAAATGCTGTATTTACCAGGGGTCCTATTTCTTAAACAGTAGCTTCTTACACAGAAATCTCCTGCAGCCGCATACTTGCTTCTTGTTCTGCGGTTAAAAGCAAAAATAGCCATCATATTAAGATAATTTAGTAATCTGGAGAAAACATGTAGTGTTTATGTGCAAGAATATTTGGTTATCTGAAATATCCTGGTATCAGAGCACTGGTGGATCCAGATGTAAGTTAAACCAACCCTCACAGCTCCATCCAAATAGGGTTCAAATTCTTGCCAGTCCCCATTTCTTATACAGCACCTATTTATTTAGCAAAGTATTTCTGGCTAAAATTGTTGCATTTAATCTTCAGAAAATCATTGGCTCTCCGTCCTCCAATACTCCTAAATTGGATCTTTAGGAGTATTACTCAGATGTAATTTGGTGCAGTGTTTTCACATTGATTTTTGCTTTTAGCACAAGTGCTCATTAACCTTGTAAGAGGAAGGGCAGTGCATAAGGAAGGATGCCAGCTCCCCCATCAGCCTGGCTCCTAATACAGTCTTCCATCATGATTCATCAATTTCTCATATATCCCTTGAGTCCTGATTCATCAGCTTTTTCCAAAGTGTTACATGCAGCAGTATAATCCTATCTGAGTCGGAAATGTTAGGTTGAATTTTCAAAATGCTTTAGAAGAAAGGACCCAATCAATTAGATGGCGTTGCTACTGAGCATTACAATTATGCTTGAATTAAATTTCTATCCGTATGCACATGGCATGCAACCAGAGACAGAAGAAATACCAATTTGTTGTAACCTTCTTTCCCAGAATTTCCATTAAGTTTTGAAATATCTGCCTTTGAATTATTTCATAATAATATGCTCTCACTTCCTTCCCAAGAGACTGCATCCTGCTGCAGTAGCAACATCTAAAACTCCTGAATTATGATCAGCATTGAAATGTTTTTCAAATTGTTCTCTTTTTATGAGCAGATAATAGAATTTTTAAACTGAATATTAGTTATTAGCAATAAATATATCCCTCATTAACAAATAAATACCTACCGTAAGCATCTTTAAAAATATTTATGTTTCTTACAATTTTAAGATTAGATTATTAAAGCAAAAAATATTTATTTCACAGCTATTGGATATTTCAGAGAATGTTTATGCTGCAAATAAGAATATTATTTAGTCCTACAATATTAGTGTGTTCATAAGCAGAGATGTGTTGACCTGTCTGCTCATGAACATATTATTTAGCAATTTAATGAAAAGATTAGCCAAGATTATTCTGTGTGACCAAGATTTAATATTAATCTTAGAAACTGAGTTTATTTTCTATATGCACTGTATTACTATATTTGTGGGTGTTTTCTATATTTTTTTTCTTATCTTTTTTGTGTTCTAAAGCAATAACATTAAGCAAAAAGCCCTGTGTCATTGCATGTATGGAACGTTATGGAAATGCATGCATTTTCATCAAACTAATCTGCATTCAAATATAATATATACTTTGCTAGAATGTTTCAAACCATGGCTGGTTGAACCAGCTGTTGTGGCCTACTTTGCACATAATGTTGTGGCATAATGAGCAAGTTCCCACTTCATGTTAAATGAAAAGCAAACACACCACCTTATGGCTTGGTGGGTTTTATAAATCAGGTCACAAAGTTACATAGGCCTATATAATATGATGGAATAAGGAGAGCCTTTCATCTCTGTTTTCATCCTTTTTATTTGTGCTTCTTTAAATCTCCCGTGAGGTGTTCTGGAAGACATGAGTGATAAATATATAGAGAACTAGAAGGCAGCAACAGTCCACTTTTTAGATGGACAATTACTTTTTATGTTGTTGTTTAAGAAGGTACCATCTAGAAAGGGTTTATCAACATTGGAGACTAGTGGTACCCAACCCCTGGTCCATGGACTGGTACTGGGCCCCACAGCATGCCAGCAACCAGTCTGCACAAACAAGGAGAGCCCCATCTGTGGGATGCAGGCAGCACACAAAACCACACTCTCTCCGGTCTGTGGAAACACCTTTCTCCACGGAACCGGTCCCTGGTGCTCAAAAGGTTGGGGACTTCTGTTGTAGACTGTGCAGTTTATTAGCGAATGTCTGATCAATCCATCATGAGAGTCTGGAGGTACTGTTTACATATATGTAGACTGTTTCTAAAACACAGGGCCAATGAACTGTTATTGTTGTTGTTGTTTTGGAACAGGAATCTTACCAAGTGATTGCAAGTATCGGTCATCATGAAAATTGCTGTGCTTATCGTGTGTCTTTTCACCGTTGCCTTGGCCTTACCAGTAAGTAAACCATGCATTTAACAAATCAATCAAGACTTCCTTAGTGTAGCAAAAAAGGAATCAATACTAATTTTTTTCCCCTTCTTCTTAAAGATCAGCAAATCGACACATCATGACGATTCTAGGAGTGCAGAAAGAAAACATGTAAGTGTGTATTGTATGTGTGCAGAGACTTGCTTTTATTATTTATTGAACCCCATTCAGTTCACGTGGATCCATATTTTCTGTATTTCCTATCTAAAACTTTTCAAAAATGGGGTTTTAAAGGTACACTTAGTAAATTCTAACAATAAAAAGCTCATCTCAGGAAGAAGGCAATCAAGAACTGGACCATTGTCTTGCTTCAAATCTTAATATTTTACTTTCGTGTGGAATTTCCTTCTTCACATTTTCTACTTCCTAGAATTAAGCCTAAATGCATATAGCTAGGGGGGGGGGGAATACAGCATCCTCAATTATTTCCTGTTTACATCTGTGTGTAAACACACACAATCTTTTCAGTCCTAATCCACCAGGCATCAATTTCATTGAGTGAGACAACTGACAATACCTTTCCTTCTTTTTTTTTAAAAAAAGGTCCTACTGCTAAAAGGACTGTAATCCTTTTATTAAATGCATTTATTTGGGCCATACTTCTCACCAACTTAAAAAAAAGGCCTCCTTTTTACCATCCTGTAATCCTCTCCCCAAACTTCAAGGTGTCTATTTCTTGGTTACTACAACTGTTCTTTTTATACCTTTCCAAAATGTAAAAAGAAAAAGAAAAAATAAAGCTATATCCTACATTACGTGAATTTACCACAAAATAGTATTAAGATTCATTTCACTTCCTAACAGGCACTTTCTGCATTGTTTTAGATATCTTTTCTAATTATTCTAATTATTATTCTAATTATTCTAATTATTATTCTTATTCTAATAATTAAATGAGAATGAAATTAATGTTTTTGTATTGGTTTAGGACTCCAGAGAAAATGAAGCACACGCACACCACCACCACCACAATTCACACAGCCATGAACACAGTCAAGAGCATGGAAACAGCCATGAACACAGTCAAGAGTCACCAGAACATGCATCTTCTCAACTGGTATGCAACTCATCTCCTTTAATGAACTAGTGGGAGCTCTCCCCAACCTGGCAGCTTCTGGATGTGCCTGACTTCAAGTGTATAAACCCAGATGGCATGGTTTGAGATGGTGCTATCTGGGGATTATGCAGCTGCAAGTCCAATACACTTGGAAAGCTAGAGTGAGCAAAGCCCCTCCCCCCAAAAGTAACATAGTACAAAGAAATGTTGTGGTGAGAGGAGCAAGCGAAAATGGGACACAAATTATCTGTCAGTTGGGCCTAGTCATGGCCAAACTAGGCCTGATGAGATGGCAGCTTTAGATTTAGTGCAAGGTATTTTACCCATTATTCTATTTAACTTGTTTCCCTATCCATCATTCTCCTCCCACCAGCCTTATTTCCTTTCCATTCAATCCAGGCCCTAATTCCTATTATTCCTTGAATAAAAAAAAAAAACCAGAAAAGCCTCAACTGGATCCAACTGAATCAGCATCTCCATCAGTAATAAACCAACTGCTTCTGGGAGGCTTACCAGCTCAGCTTTATGAGAATACCCTTCCTTCTCCGTTTCTCCCCAATAATCAACGTTCATCAATGTTAATTTCTGCTAAGGCTAATCATTAATTATGATTAATGGTTGTTAATATATCTACCATTCATGAACTGATCTTTTCTCCAGCTATGAAGACAGATAGTCCTTGACTTATAACCACAATTGAGCCCAAAATTTCTGTTGCTAAGCAAGACAATTGTTAAGTACGTTTTGTCCCATTTTACAATCATTCTTGCCAGAGTTGTTAAGTGAATCACTGCATTGTTAAGTTAGTAACATGGTTGTTAGGTGAATCTGGCTTCCCCATTGACTTCGATTGTCAGAAGGTGGCAAAAAGTGATCACATGACCACAGGACACTGCAATTGTCATAAATATGAGTCAGTTGCCAAGGGTCTGAATTTTGATCACCTGACCATGGAGATGCTGCAGTGGATGTAAGTGTGAAAAATGGTCATAAGTCACTCTTTTCAGTGTTGTTGTAACTTCAAATAGTTACCAAATGAATTGTTGTAAGTCAAGGACCACCCATTGCAATGAATTCTATAATTTTAATTGGGCAGATTTCCTTTTATGTTATCTGTTCCAAATCCACTGCTAGTTTTCATAGCCCTTTTATTTCATTTACAGAACTCTCAGTCTTTGGAAGATCGTGATGAGATCACTGAGCAACAGGTGAGATTAACTCAACATGTCCCACCCACAGAAGATAATGAGTGCAAGTGTATTTCGCATCAGCCATTCTCCCCAGTAGTCGCCGATCCCCCATTGGTGGTGTCTGTAGGGTTTGATCAAAACAGTCAAAACTAGTCTTTATATGCAACAAAAAAAAAACCCAGGCCAAACTTTGATCACCCTATTGAGACAACCAACTTTACTACAACTGTGGCCACCCTTGGATCCAGTGAAAAAGGAGACAAAACTCATTCACCTTTGATAATTGTGCAGAAAAAAGGAAGATCCATAGATTTCATTTGCATTGCAAAAAATAACACCTGAGTGTATAACTGAGCATCAATGTCTTTAGATGAGTGTCATTCGCAGATTTTAATAACAGGCAAACAGATCCATAGTGAGTCAGATTTTTATGTATATTCTAAGCTATTAAAAGTTTGAATTTTGAAACCAAAAACCAATGCACAATCCAAAAAACAATTGGTAACCAAGGCAGTTATTTCAGTGTGGTGTCACAGGATTTGTGTTAGGGCTGTACAAAACCATTCCGAGGACTGTGCCCTGTCCATCTCCCTGAAGGTTCAGTATGCCTTCTTTAAGTGCCTGTGCATGAATTTGCATGCTTAAAGGATTTGGTGATATCTTAAAGAGCTATGAATTACCCTCCCAAGCCAGAGGATCCAAATATCCCTTGGGATGATTTTGCACACCAACTAGAATCCTACATGTTGAATTTTATACCAGTTCATGCTTCTGGATGCTTTTAAGTAATCCCTTAGAAAGCCTGCAATTTGCACCACACTTCTGTCTGAAGCACCAAGGTTGCTTCCAGGTTGAAAAGATTAGCTGATGACATCACCATTGTCTGGGGGACACCCAGTTGGAGGCTCCTTTCATGTTGCAGCAGGAGCTGGAGCAAAGGATGGGAACTCATCCCATCCCATGGCAGTACTCGGGTCTCGAACGTGGGCTTACTGTTTATCAGCCCAGAGTCCTAATCACATGAGCCACCATGCTCGTAGCCTTCATATTATTTCATTTATCTTAAACTTAAGCCTTGAGAGTATAGTCCTCAGATTCTTGTTGCTGCCCAGTAGTGAACAAAAGACATTATGCATTTTGTCTGGGGTATTATCTTCAGTTTCCAGGGTTCTCATCCTGATGTTTGGCACTGAAAACTAGCTGCTGCCCAGTTTCAATGTCTTGAGTTTGTGTATGTCCAAACCTAAAACATGTGTGGTATAACCAAGTTGCATTGGTTTTCTTGCAGACTCTTTTGGCATCTTCCAGCAAAAGTAATGAAGACGATGATAATCATAGTGATGTTTCCAAAGACGACGATCATCCAGATTCAGATGAATCAGATGAGTCTCATGAAAACTTCACTGACTTTCCCACTCAGGCTCCTGTTACTTTTGATTCCGTCACATACAGAGGAGACGTCGCACCTTATGGATTCGGGGCAAAAGATGACCAGATGAGTTTGGAGAGGTCTGGAAAGGTAAATGCCAACTGATTGCTTTCTTTTATTGCTGTACTCACATAAGTGGGGGGAGAACTTGGAATGGCCCAAAAACAGCTCTTACGAGAAGCACCTTTAGCTGCATGTGGTTATCATCGTCCGCTTTAAATCAAGTGATTTAAATGTTTGATTTCAAGGAACAAGACAATTCATCTATTTAGAATCACACAGTCCATCTATTAAGTTGCAATTCACACACACAATATTTTTGCCTGGAGGATTTTGGTCTGCAACTGCCAATGTTTAGTAGCTCTGGGTAATTATGGAAAATAATGTCTGAGGTTGTTGCTTCATTTTAACATTTCAACCAACTCCTCCTCCTCCAATTCATCTCCCTACACCAACTTGTGGTGATTGGCAAGGCCACCATTAAAACACCACTTGTCACAGCAGTTTTCGATAGTTGGATATTCAAATGTTATATACTTGGCCAACACTGTTTGTGGTTGCTGTAAAGCAGGGGGTCTTCAAACTTGGCCCTTTTATGACTTGTGGACTTCAACTTCCAGAATTTTTCAGCCAGCGTGCCTGGCTAAGGAATTCTGGGAGTTGAAGTCCACAAGTCATAAAAGGGCCAAGTTTGAAGACCTCTGCTGTAAAGACACCACCTGTAATAAGTATTATATTGTATATGAGAACAAGCAGGGGAAAGCATGTTTTGAGCAAATTTGTTGGCTTATAAGAACCTGCTGCCCTCATGCTATAAAAGTCCTACAAAGTAAAAACTGCAAAGCTTGGGGTGGGAGAGACAAAAAAACACAGAGTTCCCTTGTTTGAACAATTAGTTGACATAAACATACTTCACTTTCATTTTTTAACATGTACATTTCAGACGCTTAGATTTTTTAAAATAACATTTGCGGTTAAGTTTTCTGACTTTTTAATTGTAGATTAAATGTTATAGCCATAAAAAAGTATGTGGGAAATATTATGCTTATTTTATGTTTTACACCAATATAATTCTTTTAGAGAAACAAGAGAATTGTCACTGGTGTAAAAGGACATGAGTAACCAATTTATTAATCACTTCCCATATTAAGAAAGCTTATTTTGAACACATGAAAAACACAGAAGCATTATCACATAAAAAATAAAATAAAACAACAAATAAAAATAACAAACACATAAAAAAATAATATAGGTTGTTGAAATTAATACTGTATATACCTGAGGCAGTATATTATTTAAGTCTTCTTTGCACTTTATAATCTATTTTGCACTTTATTTGTAATACACTATGACAGTGATGGCGAACCTTTTAGCGATCGAGTGCCCCAAAACCAGCCCTGCCCCTGCCCACCCCCACTTCGCCCCTGCCCGCAGCCCGTCCCCGCTCTGTCCCCACCCCACCCGCCCACAGGGCTACCCACTGCCTCCACGGCCCGCCGCAGATCGCCCAAACAGCCCAGCAGCGCCATGGCAGCCCCGCCCCGCAGCATCATCTGCGTGACGGGGCGCGAGTGCAGTGTCCCCGCTGTCTGGCTGCCATGTTCTTGGCTGCGCTGCTTGGGTGATTCTCCGCGGGGGGGCTGATGGTGAGGAGGGGCCACGGGGGAGGCAGGGCTGGGGCAATGGCATGGGTGCCCACAGAGAGGGCTCTGAGTGCCGCCTCTGGCACGCGTGCCATAGGTTCGCCACCACTGCACTATGATATTCTTTGTGGAATAATGGGGTTCCAGAGCCATTTTGGCTAGAGGTTAAGGCACCAGGCTAGAAAAATGGGGACATAAGGCATGAAAGCTGGATCCTTAGGCATGAAAGCCCAACCCACCTCACACAGTTGTTGTTGTTGTGGAGATATGTTTGCCACCCTGAGTTATTTGTATATACAACCTTTATTATTTTTAGAAATAACTAATAACTGCTACTGAACTAATAATTCTGTTAGAGAGTCTGAAAAATACCATCCTCCAGCCCTGTGTAACATTCCCTGAAGAAAGGAAAATCATTGTTAATCTTGTATGGCAGCACTGCAGATATTTCTCACGAGAGTGGAGTGGCCTTTGATTGTTTCTCTTGTGGACTTTTTCAGTTTGATTCTCAAGATGTTTCAGATGAAGTTGACAGCACCCCAGATGACGAGAGCCATGAATACGCCAAGGCACGTTCTCTGGAAAGCCATGAAGGAGATGACAAAAGTAACCTGAGGGACAGCAATGAAGTCCACAGTGCATCTCATGACACAAGCCTAGAGGACCACAGCCCAGAGAAAGCCGAGAGTGTAGAGGACAGCCATGACCACAGCAAAGTTTCCGTTTCCCTGGAAAGCACTGAAAGCGGAGAGCAGAAAAAAGATCACAGCGAGGAACTCCAACAGTTAGACAGCAATCCCGATGACGTCAGCAACCAAAGTTTGGAAAGCGCCGAGAATCACCACAGCGCTGAAGATCACCACAGTGTTGAACATCACGATAGTGTTGAGGACAATGAGGTCATCCTCTAAAGGGTAGAGCAAGATAGGCCAATACTTATCTGAGAGAGCTCTCCAGACTTTTTGCATGTATGGGCCCAACTAAGACCAAAGCCCAACTCCATCACCAGTGTTTTTGTTTTGCTGAGTTGCAAAAAAAAAGAAAAGAAAAAAGAGTGAGAAGGGCAACGCAACTTTGACTTGAATGTTTGTTCCCAATTATATAGACATAATTCGGATTTCAAGCCGTAGCGATTATAATTAGCAGCAAATGTAAATATGCTGCCTGATCCTGTTCATGCTTATTTGGGAGTCAATCTGATAGATCTTCAGCAGACTTTGCTCCAAATAAACATGCTTGGGATATTAGTGTTAAATGAACGATAATAGTAGTCATGATGATTAGAGAATATTAAGCCCTTCTCGGTGCGTTAAGTCCTGCTCTGTCTCACAGTAGCTTGCTCTGAAGGAGAGAGAGAAATGCTTGGGAAAATCTAGTTTTACATTCCCACTGATTTTTGTGTATCTTACAATGCTGTACTTCTGAAATGTTTAATATTGCAGTGTATATTTTGTTGACAGTTGTGAGTTAAATAAAGTGACAAAACTTTATATGTTTCTGTAGTTGTCTTGATAAGACTCTTGGGTTAGTTGTATGTGCGCCCTCTAGTGGCTGAAGTGAGTGCTTTTAAATTGATCAGGACAATACAGTCCTTGACTTGCAAACACAAAATAGTCCTTGACTTACAAACACAATTGGGACCAGAATTTCTGTTCCTAAGCAAGGCAGTTATTAACTGAATCACATGCAATTTTATGACCCTTTTTGCTATGGTTAAGCAAATCACCGCAGCTCTTAAATGAAGTGAATCACGTGGCCAGCTAGCTAGGAAAGGTCGAAAATGGCAATCACGTAACCCCTGGACACTGCAACCATTGTAAATACATGCTGGTTGCCAAGTGCCCAAATTCTGATCATGTGACCACAGGAATGCTGCATTAAGTGAAGGGCCAGTCAGAAGTCACTTCATTGAATACCATTGTAACTTCTAACAGTCACTAAATGAATGGCTGTAAGTTAGCAACTACGTGTAAAGCAGGGGTCCCCAACCCCAGGTCCGTGGATTGGTCCCACTCCATAGCATGCCAGAAACTGGTCCACACAAATAAGTAAAGCCCCATCTGTGGGATGCAGGCAGCATGTGAAACCACACACGCACATACCTGCGGTCCTTTGAAAAACCTCTCTCTACGGAACCGGTCCCTGGTGCCCAAAAGATTGGGGGCCATTGCTATAAAGGAAGCACAGTAATTAATACCAGTTTGTTCAGTAGCCTCTCTGATCAGATATAATTTCTCAAAACCTGTGATTTATTCTGTTGCTCTGCATAATAATAGTAATAATAGTAAAGTTGGAAGGGACCTTGAAGGTCATCTAGTCCAACCCCCTGCTCAGGCAGGAAACCCTATACCATTTCGGACAAATGGCTGTCCAGTCTCTTCTTAAAAACTTCCAGTGTTGGAGCATTCACCGCTTCTGGAGGCAGGTTGTTCCACTGGTTAATTGTTCTCACTGTCAGGAAGTTT